TCTCTCTCAGGGGAGCAAATACATCTTCTGGCAATTAAAAAAGTAAACGTGGTCTTGGAATAATAAAGAATACTAATTAAAAAGTAGTAGTACATCTGGATTAAAAGTAATCACTTTTCTCCTAGACTCTCATACACTTTCTAAAATGGCTGTAAAGAATAAATAAGATGTATAAATCAAAAAGACACAGAAATCACAAGAAATTTTTAAAACAATGAAGTTTTAAAAGCCTGAAAGTCAGATGAATAAGTGATAATAATACACATAGGAGAATGAAGAAATGGGAAAATAAAGCACATATAAGTCGGAGGGGAACCTAGAAAAAGCCAATTTTGTCAACAGAACCTCCCAAAAGTACAGGAACCAGAGATTACAAATAGCTCCAAAATTTAAAGCGCAGGAGGGTCTCAAATTCAAAATAAGAAACTATGAATCCTAGATGCCCTCCCTTACATCCCACCCAACAAAGCAATAACATTTCTACCAACCCTGAGAGAAGTAATAGATTTTCTTTCTTGAAAGGATGAACTGCAGAGATACTATGCTCAGGAAAGCAGACACACTTGGAGTGAGGAAGGGTCTGAACTAAAAACAAGCAGCAAAAATCTACATATCAAAATACTGAGATCCACATCCTGCCACTATTATCCCCAAATGACTCTCAAGATACTTATTTGCAGATGACTGTTGTATCCCTCTTAGAGCAAACACAGCAACCCAAGATAGATGCCAATGCCAGAGGGAAAGAATCTTAAAATAGCAATCTTTCTAATAAACAGAATGTGGTAAAGACCTCTAAGTACTTCTGAAGGTCAACTGGGCCTAATTATCTAAAATCATCTTACATGTAACTATTAGTTAGGAAATATAGTCCTGACATTTAACTAAAAGGAAAATGACCAGCAAAACCATAAAAAAAGTTACAGTCTTAGCAAACTGTTACACTCTAAGTATTTTTTTTTTCTTTTAATTGCCAAAGGGCACATGTGCTTGCCAGAGAGACAGAGACAGAAGGGGAGAGTGAGAAAGCACTCCCCACCTCAATGGGACAAGTCACAATCCCTTCTTCTGTATTTCTCCACCCTGTTGGGATTTGGGGTGCACATGCACATGTGCCCAGTGTGTTTTTCAAGCCAACGGGGTCAGAATTCAAATCTTCATAAGCCACATGAGATCTGGCTCCCTTAACTACCAGGCAATGGGGCTAGCTCGATATTCTGAATATTTTGAAAAATTCACAAACTTCTAGAGGGACCAGAAGGCAACAGCCACACTTACTGTAATTAAACTGGATTTACAACTTACATCGATATTACACACATATCTTCTTTCCAAAACAATCCTTTTTTCTACCTTAGTCCATCGCTCTCCCCACCCCCACATGGGGGCATTTCTCTCTGCCTATGCCTTAGGTCTAGGAGTGAGTTACAAGCACTTAACTGCCTTGACGATTAGTAACTTGGAGGGGAAAACTCAGTAGGAGTCCTTGCACTCTTGGCTATTTCCTATTTTCCAAAACGAATCACTTGATTCACTAAAATGCAATGAAGGGTCCAGCTGCAGAGGGCCAGGTGACAGGGCACTACTGTGTGATGCTGGCGCCACATAAACGGCCCCGGTTCATATCCTGGGTTGTCCTGAACATTC